TCAATCGCACCGCGGTCGAAAACCCCATGTGTCCCCGAAGTGCAATGAGGGTGGATGGGTGAACGTCGATGAGATCCTGGAATATGATCATGTCTTCAACGATGGTGTCGATATCAGTACTATCTCAGGTACTCAACGTGAGCAAGATACCAAGACAGAGCGATACCAGTATTTATGCAAGGCGATGTGGCATGCAAAGAAGTTGCAGAACAGAGTACGCTATCAGATTGCCGCCATTCGCATCTCAAAGGAGGATGTCTCACTCGAAGAGGAAAGGCAATACTGGGCAAACCTCATGTTTTACAGCACAGACGCACCGTCATTTCTGAAGCATGAACGTTGGATCGTTCCTTGTGCAATTCGAGCTGTTGCCTCTCACAATTCTGGAAGAGAGACTGTTCTTGAAGAGGATGTGTCAATATATCCTGTGTGGACTTCACATCTCATTCCAGAGAATGTGGCAATGCAGCTTGGAGGAAGCTTTCACATGACATCGCTTTCCAATATTGAGTCAATCATGAAACTAGGAATTGTCCCTGGTGGAACGGATGGATATAGAGGTAGTGTTTTCTTCAATCACTTTGCGCCGTGGGATGATCGATCATCAAAGATTCTGAGATCAAGATGGCCAAGAGTGGGAATGCCTGTTTGCCTTTATGTTCCAATCATGACTTTGAGGAAGCTTGGGGGAAGAATTTCGGAGAATTCCTACACTGTTGTTTTTAGAGAAGTTCCATGGAGATGTGTACGAGGTGCTTGGTATTGGGACGACCACGTTCAGGCATGGAGGAGACTCCTGCTGGGAAGCACTGGAGAGCAAGTTGTTCTAGCGGCACGTCATGGACTTTGGGTTGCTCAGAAGCATACCATCCTCGAGAGAGCCGACGAAGTCACAAAGTCAGCCTCGGCGACAGATGACAACGTCCAAAAGCTCGTGTCCCTTATCGATGAAGTACGATTCGATGACAATGGAGAGCTGATCGAGGATTCCATCAGTGAGGAAACTTGGGACGAAATCATCTCCAGAACATGTGAAGGGTATCGCAACGTGGATGGCAATATTTTGTGTCCATCATGTATGCATTTGACTTCTTCATCTTTGTCCGTGTGTCTATCTTGTCAAGGCAGGCTACTCTCGTGTGGCATTCGCAACACTGTCATTTCCGATTCACCCGTTGATCTTGTGAGCGACGATGAAGAGGAAAAGAAGGAAAAGAAGGAGCCTGAAGATGATGATCAAGATATATTGGACCAGTCCACTATGGACGAGATCAGAAAGGCTTGGGAAGAAGACATCGCTCAAACTGAAGCAGCTGACGACGACGAGGACATGGACAATCTAGATCCTTCCAAACCGTCTGATGGTGCAGAAAACTTCAAGAGTAACAATGTCGAGACCCCATCTTTCAATGAGGACGAGATCGACTACGGTCGTGATTCTGATCTAGAAGATGAAGACGAACGAAACGTGATCATCGAGATCCAGAGGAGCACACAACAATATGAGGGGAAGAAACGTCAAGATGGTGAGCCCGAGGATGAAGACGTCACCGACGACTTACATCCGGAGGCGAATCGACCGACAGATCGTGATGAACCGGGATACTATGCACAGCATGGAGCGACCGAGTTCAATCCCGAAGAAGGAAGAGACAACGAAGATCTCCCCATCTATTGTCGAGTACCGGAACCTCGAGTCTATGCGCATCAAGAGAGAGCCTACTGTCAGGACGTCTCCGTGAAAGCATCGGGTTTGATGGATAGGTATGTGGTCAAATGTGTGCTGAACATGATCTCCCTGATGTACAAGAGCTACTATTGCACCAGCCTTACCGACTTCAAAGCAAATTGGAAAAGGAAGCGTCTGGATGTGATAAGCAAGTTCGGTACAGGAGATTCCACTGAAATCGATGACGATGGGAGACCATTGGATCCAACAGATGATATGATGTTAATCTTTGCCAACGACAACAATATTACAACTGAGGAGGCCTGGCACCGATTCAGAGGAGAGCAATTCATTTGCAAGGTAGCACTCATGATCCTATCATTTGGTCATACTCCGCAATCCTTCAAGGAGGAATATGGCAACTTCGAACACTCCACCGACTTGACTGATGCCCAGCTTGAGGAGTTGAAAGCGAAGAAAGCCAGCGCAATGACTGAATTGGTACAGAAGTGCATCCATGCGATTCATGGTTGTCGGACATATTCTTACTTTAGAACCGACGTTACATCACCCAACCACAAGGTGATCGATCCTCTGGACATCATGTACTCGAGAATGAAGAGCAAATGGGAGAAGTCTCTGTTGATCATTGATCAACATGAGATCAGGTTACCCCCACAAGCTCAGGAAGTCATAGAGTCAATGGCCAGAAACCCCAACGTTGGACATACAGAGAGATGGATGAGCGTGGTAGAACATAAGCATGTTCAAGCTCTTACCAATCGTCTAGGCTTTGGAGATAGGGCCAAGGAGATTCAGGGCAAGAAGAAGCAGGCAGCCAAGGCAACAGCTAAGTCAACATCAACGACTAAGTCTGAAGCGAAAGCGGCATCTTCGTCAAGAGCTGAGGCAAAGCCAGCATCTACACCCAGAACCGAGGCCAAGCCGTCGTCAGCACCAAGTGAGGAGCCAAAACCTTCAACAGCGCCTAAGAGTTTCGGGCCCTCATCAGCAGAGGAGAACAAGGTGAAGGCTGCTCCAAAAGCCAGACCACATGATAAATCACCATCCAGTGCTACCGATGTGTTTGAGCAAGCTTTGCAGGAAGATATTGCCGCCAATGCACATGCAGCAGAAGGTATAACTTCTTCATCATCCCGAGGACATTCCAAAGGAGGAGGCCAATCTGGAACATCTTGGAGGCCGGCGCTAACGCAAGAACGTCGCGAAGTACCTCAACCTTCTGAAAAGGGGAAGGGAAAGAGCAAGTCCAAGGGAAAGTCCAAGAAGGGAGAAGATGATCGGCGGGATGCTCAGGGCAGCTGGGATCATCGTGGATGGAGAGGTTATCACCAGTGGTGATTTCTTTGAGCGACTATGAGGATACCATGCAAACCAGGGAGGAAATCATTCACCGGATGTCTATCTGACCTGAAACGCTGTAAGTGTATCATTGCAAATCATCAATACGATTTGATACCATGAGCGTAATGGAAGGCAGACAGTCACCGACTGTCTCTCCGACTTGCCGTTCTGTAAGTGTATCCAGATCAAAACCTACATCTTTTGAGAAGTGTGAAGTCAGTTGCCGATGTGACATCTACGTGGAAGTCACCAGTTCGGATCTACATCAAAGCGATGCTCTTTTGAGTGGATACTGAGCGAGGCCTCGTGACTGTCTCACTTGTTCAATTCGATTTTCATAGGTTCTGAGCCATAGTTGCACACTTTATATGTAAAAGTCCGCTTTAGTCCAGCATGTTTCGTAGTATGAGCCTCATATGAGTCTCGCGGCAAATCATACAATTTCTTTGTAGCACTTACATCCCTAAATTTTCGTGTGTGATCGGAACATACTGTTGCCGTTCACATGGGGGGTGCGAATGGAAGTGCAGCGACACGTACAGTGCAACTTGTACATATATATGTACCATATGTACTTTGGCTCAAGGATCAAGCGACTAGAAAAGGTGCGGTTTCCGTTCCGACGCTACGCCGCTTATGGACCGTCAGTGATAGCTTCAAACTTCGCTGATTAAGATCCACTCGCAATATTGATGGATTTCGATCTCACCAATTTGATCCCATTAAGGTGGAGTGCCATTGACTCAGCTTGACAAAGGTTATGTTCTGCAGATTTGGCGCGCACGCCAGGAAATTCTTACAGCCATGGCAGCAAAAAAGCATTGGAGGTCAGCTGTCGCATTTTGACAGACGGGATTTTGCAAATCGCTTGGCTTGCTTAGGTAGCAATCGCATACTACTGATGCTAACTATATAATGCTGGATGTTGTGTAGGATGACTTGCCAGCTGCTTCACGAAGCAGAGGACGGTCACAGCTTGCATATTTAAAGTGTTGGATTTTCAAGCCGAGGTGTCACTGCGCCAGGACACTTCTATTGCTCTGGGCAAAGAACCTGCCTATTTGCAAAGGTTCTTGTTCGAATTGGCCCAGGTGCTGTACAACTGTGCCATGCTGTCAGTTGAGGATTGGCAAAAGGCAGGAACATTGGAGCCATGAGTGGCATAGCACATGTGTACTTTTGCGTATGTTTTGCTTTTGCAAATCTTTTTGCATTTTTGGGAGTCAATTAAACTGTTTAAGGTCAGTTTTTCTCAAATGCTCTCAGGCGGTGTTGCTGCTTGAAGCTGCAACGTTGCAAGATTTGCAGCCATCAGTCGTGCCCTCAGCGCATTGCTTTGGTCAATAGTGAGCAGCCGCAGCCCCTTCCCGATCAACGAGAAAGCAACTTTTGGACAATTCAGCTGATTAAGTGGTGCATACCAGATCATACATCGGATCAAACTGCCAACACTTGAACTTTTGGAAGCCAACTACTGTAAGCCCATCAAAAAATTCCCGTTGAAGCTGCTGCTACTGTTGTGTGCATTGACTGTTGACCTTGCTGTAGCTTGTTCGTTGTTTTTCACCTTCAAGCCAAACATGCCATTGGCAACAAGGTGGTGAGCCTAAATTCATTGATTGCAGCTTGTGCGGCTGCGGCAGCCTGGGAAAAGGCTGGCAGTCATTCTTGAAGACATGATCCCACACCTCATGATAGAAACCATGGTACAGGGAGTTCATGCTTTCACGCCGCAGTTCACAGATTGAACATGTTTGAACAACATCCTCATTGCTTGCATGCTTGGCGCGTTCTTCGAGACTTTGGCATGCCAGATGTGAGCTGTTAAAGTTAAAGTGTGACCGAATCCAACGTCACAATTCGCAAGTATCACCGCATGTGCACACATTGCTCAGCCATTAATGATGCTCATAGAGAGTTTATTGTTGTTTGAATGATGTTTGATGTTTCATGATCAGCCTTTTGCATGTTTGGGCCATGGGCCCGAAGTTTCGTGTGGAAGCCAGAGGCAGGGGAATTTTCAATGTGGGGGATCGATCCACATGCTCCCGGAGAAGAACTTCAAAGGGTTTTGTGTTCCTGGCGCCAAGTGGTCTTGCATGCAAGGTCGTCAGGGCAAACCAAGAGATTGCGATAGCTAGTCGGAGCAGCCAATGGCCGAAATGCCTCTTCTTGCCTTGCCCCCAACAAGGAATCCAAATGCTGTTTCTTCTGAACAAAGGTCTTGCTTGAACAAAGTAAGGCTGCAGCACTTCCGCGAGGTTGCTTTGGAGCAGGCCTCAAAAAGTTGGCTCATTGATGGCTTGTGTATTGGATGGCTGGTGGCAGGACACTGTGAGCTTCAATTCGGCCATTGGCGGTTGCCACAGCTGGCTTCATGGAGTGGAGCTGCAGTTTGGCTGCAACCAAAACAATTAACCACTTCAATCTGCTTCGCCTCAGGTTCACCCAGTCCCATTCACACAGTTTGGCCGACAGCGTCACCTACAGTGCATAGCACTCAGAAGGGTCCCGAACGGTGCTATGATGGCATGTGTTTTTCGCCTTTACTAATTCAATTATAGATTACTTTAAATTCCAATAGCAAACATTGTTCCTAGTAGTAAAGGCCAGGAGCCCCTAGTACCCCTAGTAGCGTCCTGGTTCCTAGTAGCGATGCCCATTGCTCCTAGGCCTGCATGGCCGGCCTGGAATGGGCCAATGCTTTGGAATTGCTCCGTCATGGGCCACAGCATGTCAGCGTCATCAACGCTGCAGCTGCGGTGTGCGGCGGTTTGCGCAGTAGTTCGCCACAAAGTGGAGCCACCAGACAAAGGAACTGGTTTTGGAGCTGTTGTGTTTTCCAAAGCGCCTCAAAGGCAGAAGTGGAGCTGGACATGGTAAGTTTCAATGCGATGGTTGGCGCTTCAACCAGTGCTGGATGGGAACGAACCTTGCTTCCATTCACAAGCTTAGAGCAGGAAGGCTTAAGACCTGACAACATCACCTTCTCTTTTTTTAGCGCTTTGCCCTGGTTCAGCGCATTGCAGCTTTTAACTCAACTGGCCAAGCAGAATTTGAAAGTCTCAGCCAAATCTGCTTCAGCGGCCGCAGCTGCTGCACGACCTGCTCGCTGGCAGCTTTGCCTCAACTTCGTTGGCCGCAGTTCTGATGAGGACCAGGTTTGACAACGGTTGGCGAAAGCGGCGAGGGGTGCCACACATAGAGCACTTCATTCTGTTGTGTCCAAAGGCAATGCATGTTTGTAGTTATGTGCCGCAGGTAGACGCGCCAAGCCGGGCCTTTCTCAGTGCTTGCGCCGCGGAGTCATGTTGGCCGCAGGCCCGAAGGAAGCAAAGAGGAAAAAATATTGATGTGCTTTATAAACATGTATATTTACATAGATAGATATACATAGTTACATATATATATCAGATCATATTCATATCAGAGCATACATCATTTCATATAATACATCATGTCATATCATACATCATACATCATATATCATATATCATATCACACCAGATGCCAATCAAGATAAGACAACAGTTTCACAGAGGGTTTTGCTCAGCTTGTCCTGATTGGAGGCACTATTGATCTTTGACAAGAATTTGAAGTCGAACATCTCACACGGAACATCGGGAAGCTTGAGCTTTCTGGCGGTCATCACTGCTTGCGCACGTGGACAGCAGCAAATCTTCACTGAAATTCTCCTCAAATCCATGGACAAGTGCCGAATCGGGAAGACCAAGGAGATTTACACTGCAGCTATGGGCGCTGCCAATGACAATTGGGGTGGGGAACCCTTGAAAGAGGGTCGGCACTGGGAGTCTGGTTGGCAATGGTCACTGGCTTTGCTGAGCGAAATGGCCAGTTCAAAGTTGGAGGTAGATGCGGTGGCACTGGGCGTCGCGCTTTCGGTGTGCTTACGTGCTCGCTGCTGGGAGGTTGCGTTGGTCCTGGCCACTCTGGTGTCCAACTAGGTAGTTTTCCACTTGAGCTGGACTGGTTTCCGGCGTTTGTGCCTTTTGTTGGGGTTGTGTGTGGGGAAGTTCAAATCACTTGACTTGATCCAGGCAAGCCGCTCACAGCTTCAAGGCTCACGTGCCACGGCTTCGACGCATGCAGCGATCATTACGTGCCACGCTCCTCAGAAAAATCATGGCACTGATCGTTTCAATAGGCTTCAGTTTTTTACAGTCTTACTGTAATGAAATCCTCTGATTAATAACCCCCCCCCACATGGTAGGTCAAGAAGGTCAAGAAGGTATGAGATACCACTCATGAGGTCCACCTCCCCTGAATTATCGGCTCAGGGAGCCATGGTAGTCGCAGTCGTCGTCGGTAGTAGGTGGTAGTAGGTAGTAGGTAGTAATTTGGGCAATTTTTGGTGGGCTTGTGTCTTCGGATTAACTAGGGGAGGTTTATTAATCGTAACTTTGCATTACTTGGTTTGAGCAGGTCCATGCAGTGAGCAAACCAAGGCTTTGGCCAGCCATTGGCAGCGATCACTTGAATGTTTTGGAAGATGTTCGAGCTTTCGAACACTTGTGACCTGCAACCCGTTGCTCAATGCCTTCAGTGAAGATTCGACCTGGCAGGCCAGTCTGCATGAATGTGACAAGATTGGCAAGTCTTGCACCGATCTTGCAGGCAGCTCTGGAGCTCTACAGCACGGCATACCTTGAGAGCTTGGTGCCAGACATCATTAGACCGGACCTTAGCATGTCTCCCAAAGGCTTGTCTATGTTGTCATCTTGATTTTGAAGAGGGCGCTCCTTTCGTAGCAGGCACGAATAGCGCGATTGATGCTTGTGCCAGTGGTGGACGATGGTCTGAAGTGCTTCCGGCTTGGATTTTATGTTGTGTGGTTCCTCAAGCAGTGCCCATTCCATGCCGTTGCTATCACCTGCTTGCACTGCCAGACACTTGTTTTGATGGGCTTTGCTACCGGCCAAGCACTACGCACTGATTCATTGCAGCAACCTGAATCATTCCGCAGTGCGGTGGGTGAATGAGTCACGACATCTCATGACAGCAACATGCTCATGCCCCTAGTTACGTTTGAGGACCTACGATTCCGCAATGAGTGCCTCAGGCCTTTACAGAACATTGCAGGTTATCAAATCTCATTGTTGAAGCAGCTCAAGAGGTTCGAACGTTCAAAGAACCAACATGTTGTTTACTGCTCATCGATAAAAGGACAAGATCTCACATGGTCGATTTCTGCGGCTCTACTGCATCGCTGCTTTGACAAAGGAGTATCACTCCTGCTTCGTTGTGCTGTGTTCTTTCCCATTCTGTGTCTAGCCAAGCGAAAGAGAAAGATTAGGAAGAACAGCAAACGCGCGCCACACAAGGAGTTGAAGCTGGGGTTGCAGGCTTTGCAGCATCATTGGATGCATGCTGCCGTGAACCTGCTGGCTCTGGGTGGCGGCTGGGCTTGTCCCTCGGGATAGCAATGGAGGAACGGCAAGTGGAGCCTCATGCCATGAGCCAAAGTCTGCTCATGGCTGAATGTGAACAGCATGGCTTGCAGAGCGCGGAGCATTTCTTCCTATCCAACCTTCCTCGTCTCACAGGGGGCTCACAGATAGTGCTCGAATCAAAAAAGATCCCAGCTCAGCACAACTCAATCCCATATTTGTTTGTTTCTCATCCTGTGGGTTGTGTAGTGGTTCCGGTGGTTCGGGCTCACTCCGCTGCCCGTCCAAGCAAATTGGGAGGCACTGCATGTTTTCTCGAGCAGTGCATCGTTGGAGGGTTGGAGCCCCAGCGAAGAAATGCAAAGCTTGATGCTCGAAGGATGGGTGGGTGGAGGCGACTTGACCTCACTGAACAGTGCCATGACAGCCTGTCGGAATGCCACCCGTGCGGTTCCAAGATCAGAGATTGTTGTCCCACATTGACATGGAAACACAGAAGTCGTGCCAAGGCTGGGATGTTGTGCTGGGGCTTTTCAAGGAGAATCGGACCGGACGATTAGGAAATTGAATTGTTGACGAACCGATGGCAATTGAAGTCCAGGCTCAGGGCCATAGACTACCGATGTCTTCGGATGCACGGGTCCTAAAGGGCAACTCCACGGTTCCACACTTGCAACATCTTGCAACACTTGATTGCCACGACGCTTGAGACAAGGTGCCGTCTAGTGTACTTATGTGTATGCTTATTCAGTGCATGTTCAAAGCTTCCTCGTCATTGTCACTTGTCGTCGAGGTTATCACCTTCAACATTATGGCTGGTGCCTGTGCAGCAGTGCATCAATGGCAACAAGCCATCACTTTCCTACAGGACAGTTGCAAACCAGTTTGGGCAAGCGATTTCATGTTGCATAATTCGTTCGTAAGGTCCAAGGTCATGCAAGATGACCTTGCTTGCATAGCAATGAAGTTCAAACAGAAGACGGGTATCGAAGGGCATCCTGTGACACCAAGAACTCGACAAAGGTTTGTCAAAGGGCCTTTGCCTTGGCCCGGCACCTCCGTCCAATTCAGAGCAGACAAATCATGCCTTCCTTCCTTCCTTCCTTCCTTCCTTCCTTCCTTCCTTCCTTCCTTCCTTCCTCTCTCTCTCGATTCTTTTTTTCACGAAAGCTTAGCATCAGCTAGCTGGAGTTGTCCTTGGTTTAGCAAGTGAGGGGCTGGAATCCTCGAGATCGCCGCATCGCGTGAAAACTTCATATGTAGAGGGCCCCCCCCACGGGTTCAACTCCCCCCTGGGACGCCTCCACTTTGGTTCAACTCCTCCGTGGAGGTTTTTGGGATACGATGCAACAGATTCAACAGATTCACAAGCTAAGGTTGGCTGTGTCATTGCTGTCCGTGTGTCTTACATGTTCACAACGTTTTACCTCATGAGCGAGACCTTGTGAACCATCCCTCCAACAGCCCCATGCCTGTGAAAAAAAATTGCCTCACTCCGCTTGATGTCCCACCAATCCTTTGTCACTGGACGGCACTGTATGCTTCGCCTCCACTGACACGGATGCATCCCTGCTAGCTTTCGTCACCTACCCTCGGCCTCAAGGTCTCCGTCTCTCTTCTGTTGAAAGCGTCAGTCAGATCATAAACACGTCCTGATCTGGGGCAGTGGCGCCTTGCTGGGCGGATAGATGGTGCTACAATGTGCTACAAATTATATAAACTTATATTGTACCATTTTTTGCATCGCCTCGTTTATATCAGTAAGACATTGACATAGTGCTTGGGCAGCCTTGGTGCAAGCTTTCACACAGGTGAAGCAATGTGAAGCAGCTCACTACAATTTTTAATGTTGAATCGAAGCGATGTATTGTAATTGAAACAGGTGGAGGGCCCCCTCTTGGCAGGACATGCTGCAACATGCGCTGACACCAACATCATCAACATTCAACACGCTTATGACAGGGTGTCCTGACTTGACAGGGCATGAAGAAAAGGATGTATGAAATGTTCAGCAAGTGGACTACAAAAATTTCCAGCTAGGAGTTGGAGTCACTCTTTTTGGCAGGTGCGAGCAAGCCCAACAGTGGTGGCGTGCGTTTGTTCTCTATGAGAAGATGCAACATCTTGGAATTCAGGCCCGGCAAGATCATCAACAAAGCAGAACTTGCCATTCTTGACATGTTCTTGCCATGTAGAGTGCATCCTACACATTGGTTCAGGCTGATGCCACCACCCACGGTACTTTGCTGTCCGCAATGGAGCGTGCGCGCCTATCTATTTGTTTGGACGGAGGGGCATCAACTGTTCTTGGAAGTGGCATTTGACGTTCCAACAGCATTACAAATCGTACGTAGGAAGATCGATTCGAACGGCATTGCACTTGGCTCAGGATTTGAATCTTTTTCCTAGTCGGGCCGTTCGTGGAAGCACGTGGCCCCGATGTCGGCACCTAGCGCACCTGGAATCACGCTGCCTCGCTTGGCACCGCCTGTGAAGCCAGATGGCTACGCCGGCGCACAAAGCTCATCCCCGGGAAGCAGGAGAAGCAGTGTACTTGATGAAAGTTCTGATGAGGAAGACCGTGTCTCTGTTTCTTTTCCTGGAGAGAAGCCTCTTCCATTTGCCTCTTACTTTGGCAGTCCTTATCGGGACCCAGCTTCAGCAGCTTCAGATTCCAGCTCGAAAGCAGAATCCAAAGAAGGCGGCGGCTTGTTTTCCTTGGCCAGCAAGCTTTTTGACATGCTTGGGGTCCCATTGAGCCAGCCGGAAGAGAGAGTAGAGCAACCGGCTAGCCAGTCGTTCAAACCCAGTGAGACGGCCATCATTTTTGACTGGGATGATACACTCTTCCCAACTTGGCACGTGATAGAGACAGTGAAGGAAAACCTGCCAGCAGATGATGCTTTTCATGCATCGCTTGACAAGCTAACTGCCACAGTGAGAGAGCTCCTTTGCTTGGCAAGGTCCTGCGGGCAAGTGGCAATCGTGACGCTGTCCAGAAGGCCATGGGTGGCCAAGTCAGCTTCTGAGTATATGCCCAAGTTGCAGATCGAGACACTCCTCAAAGATCTACGCATTCCAATCATTTACTCTCGAGAGTGCGTGAAGCCATACATGATGCGAAGCCCAGATGGGGACTTCGAGGAAGGGGTTTGCCCCTTGACCATGGCTAAAGAGCAAGCAATGAAGAAGGTCCTTAAGAAGCTTTATGGCCGAAATCCCTGGAGAAATGTTTTATCAATTGGAGATTCTGTAACAGAGAGGACGGCGATTACGGAGTTGCTTTGGGCACACATGGGAGAAGACGCTCGAAGCTGTTGCAAGACGCTGAAGATGCTACAAGATCCGTCCATTGAGCAATTGCAGATGGAATTGAATGTCATCAAGGACGCCATGCAATTCTTGTTCTTTTGGCAGTCTGCTTCCAGTTGAGCATACATTTTTGACAAGTGGTCCGACGTTCTTGTGCCATGTTGTGACTTGCAACGCGCGCTTTTTGCACATTTTGTGAACACATGTTTACACAATTTTCCTGCTGCAAGTGTCGCCAGGATGCGCTGCCCGGAATGGCAAAGCGCAGTGAGGACTTCTCCTTTTCCATCGACGAGAGAGGATTGATCGCTGAATCCTTATAAGGTGAACATCGTAACACCGTAGTTACTTAGTAAATTGCAATAATTAATATCATTGCATTTCACCGGAAACAACTCACGGCTCTGTGTTTTGAGAATTGGCCTTCAAACATTGGTCTTCCTTGCAGCTCTTGAGCGGTCCCGAAGCCTAGAGCATGCAAGCTTTTGCCCAGATGATCATGTAGTGTACAAAGAGTGCATAGTGAGATGTTGATTTGTGATGATTTGTGGATATTTGTGGTGCAATCTGGCCACTGTGTTTCACCCGTGATTCGTGCTCAATGCGCAAAGAAAAGGCGGAGCACGAAGCGAATCCATCCACGACATACAGCAATGGGCTTGTGTCTATCTTTATTCTATCTTTATATACTCACGCGAGAATTCGCTTTCAAGGTGCCAACCACTGGCAGCATGCGGCCTATGCTCTTTGCACGGGGGTTTTCTCTAACCGGGCCTTACTCAACGGAGTCCTGAATGCCTCCAGCAGCAGCTTGGGGCTGAGATATGCATATATATTACCAAACCACATGGAAACTTGTTGCGCTGATGACTTCGGAGGTGGGCAGTGGGAGTTGACGCTCCAGCTGTGCCAGCCTATTTGCAATGTAGGTCCTTGTCAGTTGCTGGACACAGGAATGTGATTGCCACTCCGTCTTAGGCTGCATTCCGGACATGAGACTGACATGCTGTCAGTCGCCGAGTTGTGTGTCAACTAGAAGCTGTCCATGACTGTCCTTGTTGCGTGCAAATGTGAAGCTTAGGAGCTTTGGCACAACAGCCCTTGCACTTGCAAAAGGACGGTTGCTTGAGAATGGGTGCCACCATTTGTCCACAGTGTTTGCCCAAAAGAACTCTTACTCGCATCGTAGGACACCATTGGCAACATATCGTGGCTCTTCTGGAAGGACTAGGCCGGGCCACTAGACAATTCAGACTGTAGACTGCATCACATATGATGGCCTTGGAATGGTTTGGGGAGTTTTGCAGCATGAAAATAGAAGAGCCTTCGGCGAAGCAACAATGGACATGAAAAGGTGGACGGTGTGGTGAATCCAGAGGGTGTATGAGGCTGCCATTTTTGTAACCTGTTGTCATTGTTTGCCTAGATCCAGAGGTTGTATGATGGGGTAGCCGGTTAGTCGTGAATGCGATGGCTCTTGCACCAAGGCTTTCAGCCAAGGCACGGTTGCGCAATGTTGTGCAAATGTCGGCTGCATGTGTTGAACTTCGTTGTGCTGCGTGTTCGGATGTGTCCTGCATGTGCGTCCTCTTTGCATGTGTCATGGCTTCTCAGGTCCAAAAAGACTCTGATGCTCAAGACTTTGCAGCTCGCATTGGAAGAAGGCAGGATTCTCATAGTCTCCGACTGTTTCCGCACTGCCAGTAGTCGCCCTCCACCAGGCCATTGCAGGGGCTTGACCGTAAAGCACCACTCTATTCCATCTACAGACCTCTGGAGAAGCTTGGGTGCTTTGCCGGAGAGTGATGCAAGCCGTGTGCTATTTGCGTCCCGGCAAGAGATGCCTTTCTTGTTTGACATCAAACTGGCTTCTGGATGGTGTTGAGTCCTGAGCTTTTAGGCCGTCAGCAGGCTGTCCCATGATGCTGCTTCGCTCTAAGATGTTGAGACCATATCAAAACAACTCAAGTCGCATTTTCTCCAAGGCAAGCCAGATGCAGATGACCGCTACATTGTCCCTGCCTGCAGCTGAATCCCGAGAGGCCTCGGACAATGTGCTACAACGCTGGGTGACGCAAATTCACAAAAGCAACCGTGTCAAAACACACCACCACACAGCTGCTAACGAGACAGAGAGAGAGAGAGAGAGCAGCGCACGAGGCTTTGCAAGCATTGAAATTTGGCAGAACAAAAGTGAGGTGCTTGCTTGACGGTCCAACCAGAAGAGCAACTTCACAAAACCTATCACCTGCGTGGTTTCTTTTGCCTTGGCTCCAGGGGGAGGGTCAAAGATTATGATTATATAGGGTACAGTAGTCAGCAGTTGTGACTAGTGCTAGACACGGTTAGTCAAAAAAAAAGTTATACTCCTTCGCTCGTTGCTGTTCGTGTTGTTTCCCTCCTCATCTCACTTGCATCGAGCCATGGGTGCAAATACGTCTCATGAGCCCGATGTTGGCAGCTATGCTTTGCCTATGCTGATCACATGTGCTACGTTGTGCGGTGCCACATGTGCCACTCTGAGGCTGGGCCCGCTGAAGCGCCACTACTCTTGAAGCGGGCACTTCCAGCCCATACGTCCCAAGCTCAAGCGACAGATGATCAGCTTTTCTTTGTAGATGGTGCTTTGGAAGGAAGAAATCACAAAGCTTCTTGTTCTTGCCAGAGCTGTTTTCAATGAAAGAGCGAAATGCAAACGCTTTCGTCTTGTTCTTAGTAGCATTGGACGTCCAACTAGTAGTTTCTGACAAGTGCAGGTCTCAAGACTCAGCTTTGGACTGCTAGGCCCCTCCTCATTTTCGGAGACAGCTGGGCGGAGGAGCAGACCGCTGTTCAGATATCATTGTTTCCAACACGATTTGCGGGATTTGCGTCATGCAGCTATCAGACATCAAGCCAACTTTCCGTTTGCTGCAAGGACCAGGTTCAAAGCGTGGCTCAAAGTTGGCCAAAAGTGTTTAAGATTTCTTTGCAATACGTGTAGTGGATGTTTCAATTTGATGCTTTTCCTGCGCTTTCTGTTGCCCGGGCACCAGCACGTGAGACAAGTACAACGCTCAGAGCCCTGCGGACTACGACCACAATCCTCAAAGCCAGAAGCGCTCGAGACGTTTCTTTGAGCTTTGCCGGCTTTGCCTGTGCGGTCCAGTTCCGCAAGCGGTGCCGGCATATGTCAGCCACCTTGCGAAACTTAAGGGTTTCACGAAAAGTTGTTGTTCTTGGTGAGAACCGTCACTCTGTGCCGGTTCAGAAATGGCTGACAGATGTGGTGATTGGCTTCGGTTTTTGTCCCTGGGCATCCCCTGCTGAGGAAGCAGGGAACCTTCGAATTGTCACAAGCAAGTCCACCACCTCGAAAGAAGTTTTGGATGACTTGGTCTCAGAAGCTCGGGAGCTGTGGATGGGAGCACGCGAAACAGGAGACACGAGAGCAAAAACGACTTTGCTTGTTTGCCCTCATGTCCCAGCTTGGAACAAAGATTTCCGTCATTTCCATGCGTTTTACACCTGGCATCTTGATGGCGGCTTTGCCTTGGCTGAGTCACTGGGAATCAAGGTGGTACCCTTTCATCCCGATTTTGCGCTCCTTCAACGAGGTCCTGAAACTGGTGACTTTGTGCTGGTGCCTGGGCCAGATGGTGAAGACGCTGAAGCTCAAGTTATCGAGAAGAATGTCGGCAAAGATGAAGCAAACGAGTATTGCATGGCTGTCCGCTTCGCCAATGGAGAAGAAGGACTGATTCGCCATGCATCGGTCATGGCCCAACCAAGTAGTCAAGCCAGAGAGGAGGACTTGTGCCGCAATTTTACTTCTAGAGCTCCACGTCCAGTGCTGCACCTCTTGCGATTGCCTGACCTCATCCGAGCCGAACAAGAAGCACAGAGCTTGCCGAAGAAACCCAGGTGGCAACAAAGACTGGAAAAGGAAGCAGCAGAAGTTGAAGCTGAACTGGAGCGAGAAGCCATGGCAGAGGCCAAGGCAGCTTTCAGAGATCGGGGTCGCTTGGAGAAAGAGATGAGCGATAAAGTCTCCAAACGGGCGTCGAAGAAGCCATACAGAAAAAGAACGACACAAGACGATGAAGACTTGCAGGAGGAGCTGGCGCAGATGCGAGGTGCTACTCAGGCAATCACTGACCGCAATCAGTTTACCGTCAAGTCCCTGGGTCCTTTGCGACTCAGGGAAATCATGCAGAATTGTGAACGAACCGAGTAGGCCGAATTGTGCAACATCGGCGTGAAAAGGTCCCCTGGCCGGATGTTCCACAATGTTCCATCATGATGAGAAGAAATCCCTCAGCTAGAAACGTCCCCAAGAAGTACTGAGCTTGAGTGAGATTGAGGTTGCACACTTCATGTATAGATGACACGTCATGTATAGTTGGTGTCTAGGAATTGTCATGTAAAGACTTGCATCATCGGTAATCGGCTTTGCCGTTGCACTGTGGACGCCAAACCTGATTTGGCTCAAGAACTTGAAGAAAAGGTGCCAGGGCCGTGAATGTCGTTCGAGATCGTATCGACCGCTGCCTTTGCATAGGAAAGTCAGGTTCCAGAGTTTAACTGGTTATCAGCCGCAAGAGCTACAAGGAGATCATTGGTTGAAGAAACGAGACCATACACGAACATCACGACAAGCGTGTCAAACGAAACATCGGCATTGTGTTGAAACGTCTTTCGAACACTTGTTGCCTCGCGCTTTCGGGCGCGATCCATGTCACCGCGAGAACGATCGCGGCGTCGTCGTGGCCCACGGGGTGGTGACCCTAACAGGCCAAGCCAGCAGTCCCGTCGGGAGCGTGGACTCCCCACGGAGGACAGCAGGGATTGTGAAGAAGGGTTTCAGGACGACGAGATCCCTCAGGAGGAAGTGGAGCTTGAAGGTGAGAGTGTTGACACGGTGACAGGTGAGCCTCGTGAGACTCGTCGTGCAGCAGTCGGTGACATTGCTCCTGAGGTTCCCGGCGCTTCGCCGGAAGTGGCATCAGGTGTTGACTTTTCGGCGACCGAGGATTCGATCGCGAGACAGGCGACAGAAGAAGCAACAGAGCATTCAGTGTCGCTTGAGCCGGAGAGCATTCAGGAGAAAGCACGAGAGCTTCGATCCAGGTCGGCCCGCCCTACTGCTAGCAAACCGTCGCCTTCGATCAGTGAAGATCCAGTTGAAGTGAAACCTCCGGTTGAGAAGAGAGTTAAGCCTCCGCCTCAGGCTACATCAGCCAAGGCGAAAACCAGGAGGGAGCAGGTCGAGGCCGGTGACATTGGGCGTGAAGAGTCGGCAGTTGGTGCATTGCGTCGTGCCATTGGTCGTGATTCATCGCGCCAGCGCGAGGGAGAAACTTCGTCCGGATCTGGCTTGAAGCGTGTTGTTGAAGATCTTCCGACCCCGCCTCCGGTGCCGACGAAGGAAGAGATCGAGCAGACAGAAGCTGCGCGGAAACGTGAGTTGGAGAGCCTACCGCCTCCACCGCCGGTGCCTCGTGAGCCACCCGTTCCTGTGACCATCAGGGCTGCACCCAAGCCGAAGTTGACCGAGGAGATTCAGCCTGTTGTTCTTGCCCCAAGGCCGAAGGAGAGGCCGCAGCCGTCCGGAGAGCCGTCGCCTTCAGCCCGGCCTCCTGAGCCACTCGGAGCGCCACCTCCGGCCTGGCAAGACAAACCCCTCGTTCTGCTGGACTTCCACAAGACCCTGAGTTTCCCGAACAACGAGCCGCCGGTTGCAGAGGCGACCGTACAGACGAGGACAGTCAAGGAAAAGGGATTCGCAATTGGCATTCTCAGCTTTGCCTCAAACAAGGCTACTCAGGAAGGCGTTGCAGCTGGAGTCGCGGAATTGGAAAGTCGACTTGGTTGGTCTTTTGACATTGTCGCGATTACGCGAACCAAGTTTTCCACAGACGCCGAGCAGGGAGCGTCGATTACCGGGCACATAGGAAGCAAGGCGAAGTTGGTCGCACAGTTTGGCCCGATCGTTTACGTTGACGACCAAGGCTCATTGTTGAACGACGTGCGCACGCTCCAGCAGAACGTGCCGATTGGACACAAGACTCACTGCATTCGTGCTGCATCGTATCCGAGTGAGGCATTGGTCCCACTTGAGAGAACGCTCAGGACCTTTCCAAGGACCAGTGAACTGCCCACAGCCAGAGAACTGGGCAGGATTTTCGGGACCAGGTGAGGTCGAGCAAGACGACCAGTGTGGGTGCACATTGGTCGAGAGTGGGCATTGTAGCATTGGTCGATAAACCCGTCTGCAAAGGGCTACGTGTCGGGTTGAGGCTGGTACTACATTGCTGTTGAACTTTGCGACATTGGTCGATAAATCCGTCTGCAAAAGGCTACGTGTCGGGTTGAGGCCGTTGTTGCATCATTGAGGGATATTGTGTGGTCAGACATTGGTTGTATTGAGGACTTTCATTGGTTGGCGGTGGAACATTGTTTCTTGTCGTCGGCCAGAGTCGTGCTGCCTTCGCGTCTGGTCGCGTTCTCGCGACCGACGCGACTCGTTCATCGCTTTTTGCGATCCACTGCCCGAAATTCGCAGCTCTAAGCGCGTGGCAATAAACTCCGCGACAAACGTCGCGTGCCGGCAGTGAAAAGAGAGGAGGTGGCGCTGCTCAGTGTGTCGAGACCGTGTTGGTTGTTGGTTTGAAGCATTTGTGAACAAACTATCTATAGTTAGTTGAGAGTCCTTCAACAGAGTCGGGTCGAATTTGAGTGTGTTGAGATTGAGTTGATTGATTGAGTTGAGAGTCGTTGCATTGCACCGGATAGTCGATGTCAAAACGGTCGCTTCCTGCAACACCCTTTCGTGTCATCGGTCCTGAAGGCTCCTACGAAACCTCGAGTTCATCCATTTCTCCGGAGACTGGGCTTGCGAGGATGGAGGGTGATTTGGGAACTGGTGGAGGAACCGGGCTCCAAGTGAGCGTGCCGGCCAAGGGAAACACAAAAGTTGCGGTGAGTCGCATGCGGACTCAGAGTTCTGAACCTTCCCAACCTTCTGGGGTACAAGGTGATCCATCGACTGTTCCTGGGGTGCATGTTTATGATCAGAGAACCCTCAACCACCTGCAAGTACTCAACCAGCACAACATCGATCCAGAGACACTCGAAAGAATTGTTCAGGGTTACGTTCAAACGCAGTTGAGCCATGCAGAACAGGTGATAGAGCATGAACGACAACAACATCAGCTTGAGCAGCAGAATGCAGCATTACAGCTGAGCCTTGAACATCAACAGATGAACCAACACATCCAACAACAAGAGGCCAGCATGGCGCGACAAGCACACAGCAGAATCAACCAGATCACAACAGAGGCACAAGCAGAAATCCTCAAGCATCAGCAGATAGCCGAACAAGCCCAACGCGAGATACAACGCGTGACCGCCGCAGCAGAAGCTAGGTGTCAAGACCTTGCGCGTGAGAACGAAGCCCTTCGAGCTTCGCCTATTGCAGGCTACTTTGATGCTTGTCCGTCGGAAGCCGGAAGAGCCCCATCGGTTGCTTCAGCCTCGCCATTGAATGTTGTTTACTGCCATGTGTGTGGAAACCAAAATGTTGTTGGGCGTGGTTGGTGTTGGAACTGCAAGAGTAATCTTGAAGAGCCCGAGAATGGTACGGACCCTTTTGAACCATCTTCTCATGAAAGATATATGTACCCAGTGCCTACGCGACCCTCTAGTGTTGCGACCATCAGGGAGCCAGTCAACCTGCAAAGGAACATTGCGTCGCATGAAGGACCATCCCATGCAGAAGTTCCGCTTCCTCGAGCCCCTGGCGGTCCGGGACCGTATGGCATGCCGTGTGGCGCATTGCATGATGGTTCACATGTTCATCATCTTGGTGTTGATCCCAGGTTGGTCTATGGAATGTGGACCCCAAAGGCTGTTTCAGAGTCAGGGAGTGCTCCTGTTCCTGGTGTAGGATTTCAACGGGCCGTTCCGGCCATGCCATCGTTCCCAAGAGCTTCAATGGGACCGGCTTACCCACCAGGGGGGTACATCGGCACTATTCCAGAAGCACCTCCAGGTGTATCGTCATCAAGTCACCCACCAAACATCTCCATTGCGACACCTCGTAAGAAGGAGTCATCGGAGTCTGGTGAAGGATCAGGGAGCTCGGATGGTTCATCCGATGAAGGCTCAAGAATGCCGGCAGGCAACCCTCCTGAATCTTGGTTGCTTGACGGTGAAACCGAAGACAGCGTGTACAAAATCAAGCACTTGAGAAACATCTCAATCACCAAGTTGCCAACAGATGCAACATCTTGTAGAGAGTGGCGCGCTGCATTGCTTGCGTCGGTGTCGCGCATTGATCTCACTGCGCGTGATGTGTTGGTCAAGTATACCTCTCATTGCATGGATGCTGGACGAGGTCGGACCTTCAGAGCTACGCTCCAGAATGACCAGTCGTTCATCCCTTTCAACAAGCACATCGCCGCAGAGCTCATCAAGCAGGACATCCTCTCCACCAACACGGATTTGGCCCATGAGCTCACCTCCTATGTTGAAGCGTGTACTGCAGTCAGCCAAGGTCCAAAAGGAATGGCGTTGTTGAACATTGTCGCGTCGTACTATGAGACTGGCTTGACCCATTCGGTTGCGCTTGATCAGATGCACTTGTTGTCGTTGACGCTTGCAGGCAGAAGTGCCAAGGACCTCACGGAGTTTGTCAGGAAGACCAACTACATCCTCCACGGTTTGAAGCAGTCGGATCGACCAGCCCCAGACACATTGTTTCAGTGGCTGTGGCAACAGGTGAAGCGAGTGCCCATTCTTTCGCGAATCACTGACAAGGTTCGCGAGTCGTCTGGTCGGTCGAAGAAGAGGACATTTGAGTGGTTGTGGGCACAGATCGCGGAGGAGCTCAGGGAGCGTCGTCATGACATGAACTACGACAACATCTCCAAAGGCTTGAAGGACATGCCCAATGCGTCGCTTGCTTGTCCGTCGACTCAGGTCACCAAGGTTGAGAAGGCTTCCAAGCCGCCTAAGGCTCCTAAGACTTCGAAGGAGTCGGGTGCACCAGCACTTCCCTCTGATGCGAAGGGTGGCAAGGGCAAAGGAAAGAGAACGCCATGTGCTATGCATGCTGCTGGATTGTGTCGCTTCGGCTCGCATTGTAGGAATGAACATGTTGGTGATGCCGGCAGTGACGCCGCCAAGAAGGTGTACATGAAGTCTCAGGAAGGCCAAGGTGACAAGGGTTCCAAA